CTACACTCGACTGTCACGTGACAATCCTAGCCCTAACCCAATCTTTGACAAAAGCATAAGCTGAAACCCTGACCCTAACGAGAAATTATACCAACTTCCATATACGGTCATATCACGTGATCGAGACAGTTTTTCGCCAATAACTTGCCTGGCACAGGGAGACTAAAGTGCAAAGAAACTGTTGCTAACTGCTGCTGACTGCTGCTAACATGCCGCTCTTACTACTGTACTAAATCGCTCGTCCTAATTTTAATGTTCAAGAAAATTCTTGAGAAAAGGCTCTTTGGGGTATGAAATTGATCAAAATCGTGATCGGTGTATTTTTGAACGCTGATTCCGAATCACCCCCATGACGTAGGGCCGGTAAAATGTTTCCCTGAAGAATTATGGCATATGGGCAAAAAACCGTTTTGATCACTTGTTTCACAAGTAGAATAGGTCGCGCGCTACTGCAAGCGAAAGGGCTCTGCAGCTGCACTGGTTAGATCAAACAGCAACCTAGAGCTAGGAAAAAAGTCACATTGCATGTTGATGGTTCACCTAACTATGTGCTTTTGCGCCGCTGCGGGCGCGCAAGAGCGGAGGCGCGCTACTGCAAGCGCAAGGGCTCTGGATAGAGCAATGTTGATGCAATTAATAGTTAAGCGAAAGCACATGGTTAGCTGGTGAACAAAAACATTATAATTTTCTTATTTCTTCGTTAAAAATACAATAACGCAAACACAAACGTACAAAAATTTTGGTGACGTACCTCGATTCCCCGTTCAATTTTGGTCAATCAACTTAGTTTAAAATTACTGGGCGGCGGCCGGCACTCAGCCTGTCATTCCGCCTAATTTCTATTCTCATATGATTATGAACATAAATAAAATAGCCTGGGTCCCCAGGTAAAGTAAAAAATCAATTAAGTTATTGAACTCATTCATACGTATTTTGAAAAACAACGCTGCATCGATGCGCCTCACAAATTATCATTTTTGCTTCGCGTATTTTATTGACATCGTCAATCAAATACGTATTAAATTGGATATGTGCTTTGGGAAGGGATATAGCGGGCGCCATTCAAATTTATTACCGGATAAATGATATTTTCATTGTATTTTATTGTACAGGCTTGAATAACTAATTATACCAAAATGTACTCTCTAAACCATCGGCAAGCAATTTTGTAGGGTAGGCTCTTCCATGCTCTTAGGGTTAGGAGTATAGTTTTATCTGAGTACTGTCTCTCTCTCCTCTGTTTCCCTTTTCTGACATAGTTCAAGTTCTCCCCATGCATAATTTGAGCTTCTTGGTTAGCCTTCTCAAAACTCAACACCTCAACAGCAGTTGCAAGGTTCGACTCCTTTTCTGACAGCAGTCTTGATTGTCATACGTTGTATGACCCGCCGTGAAACGACCGTGGGGGTCGCAACGTGATACAAAGTCTTGACTGGATTTTAGGGTCTCTCAAACCTACCAAATACTGATCTAATAGAGCGCTGTCAAAGTTCCTGAAATTACAGTCGTTGGCTATTACTCTCAATCTGGCTAAAAACTCACTGGCTGGCTCATTAATGTTCTGCATTGTCCTGTAAAACTTAAAACGCTGAGTATACTGGGTTGGTTTGGGGGAAAGGTGGTCTACCTCAGCATACGTTTATTCAGTTACATTGTCAGGGTTCACCAGTGATTTAATAAGTGAGTAGATTTCACCGTCGACTGAGTTGATGAAGACTTTGATGTTCTTCTTGTTAGCCGCGGTTACCTGATCAGCATTCTCTGCGTCTTCTGGTCAAGTCGTTCAGTAAACGACCGGGGGGAGGATTTGGCCGGGGCCAGGGCCAAGGAATGTCCAAATTTTGCCGGGGCCGGGAATTGGCCGTTCTGGAATTTGGCCGGGGCCGGGGCCGGGGCCGTGAATTTAATAAATCCACGGCCAAGTTAGAAATTTTAGGATTTAGGTGGAATATCGTAATTGTAAAAACTATCAGAGGTTACAAAAACAAAGGACTGCTCTTGAAAGTTGGCACTCTGGACATCATCCTTTCAAAATTGAAAATCCATTTTAAGATTTATATGAAAGTTTTAGGCCGATTTCGATCAAAAATTCCCGGCAAAAATTGAAAATCGGCCGGGGCCGGGGCCGGGAAGAAATAGCTCCCCCGTTGCCGGGATTTCACGGCGCCGGGAATCCCGGTCGATTACTGAAGTCGTTAACATTGAGATAAAATTCATATCGTTCAAACCATTCACGGATGTTGCTCGACTTCGTAAGTACTTCTTTGAAGGGGTTAACATTTCTCGTCGCCATTTGTTGTGTTCTGTGTAGGGTTCTTAGGGAGCACTAAAACGATCGTTTAATCAAGAACATAAGCTAACAATATATTGCGTTAATATGTATGTATGTATGTATGTATGTCGACAGAGGGCAGCGCTAGGCCCGCTGTGGTGCCCTCAACCTACTTTTAGATTAGAGGGTCATGTAGGCGACATCCATGTCCAGTGGACAACGCAGGCCGGTGAGCTGTACACTGGGCACGCGCGCGTAATAATAGAGCTCAAACAGGTAATAGACCCCGCGAGCGTATAGGATCAGGATTTTACAGGATGTGGACAGCCGGCCCTGTGACGGTGATGGATGCGTGCAAATCTGAGGGCTTGAGTCGATTGTATTGTGGTGCTAGTGTACTCTGATAAGTGAAATAGCCCGAACCAGGTAGCTCACCTGCTCCGCATCGCGGGGGGCCGTTCCAATTTACAGGTGTACATGGGGAGATATGTCGACGCTCGTGAGTGAATGGGGAATAGCTGATTTGTGCGAAGGTGATGTGTGGGTTATGATGGTGCTGTTACTTTATAAGTATTGAGTTTCACGCTACATAAATATTTATAGTAGCATGGTTAAGATTCATAGTTCGTAGTATAGTAGTAGTTAAGTCATTTTTCTTTGTTAAAGAAGTAAGACGCATGAGTTGATAAATTGTTATCGGGTCTTCTCCGATATATTCAAGGTTGATGGCGATAATTAAAACAACGAAGAGCTGCAATTGTAGAAAGTGATAATAAATATTTGTAAATAAATCTCGTTTGTTTGTGAATCCTCTTTATCGACACTAGGCAGGGTATGATGTTGAGGCGAAGTTCGGGACTGATCTGGTATCATCTTCCTTGAGTTTACTAATCTTGATCAACCTGGAGTTTCAAGTATGTGGATTAGTACGTCGCAGTTTATTTTTGCGCAATCTCGGGCGCGCGCACTAAATTTTCTGTTAGAAAAATGACAGCTATTATGTTGCTACATCCTTGAGATGTATGGCGTTCGCGCGTTACGTTTAATGCGGGAAATTTGGAGGACGGATTTTACCGGTTTGAGAAAATGGATTTGATTGTTCATTGTAGTTGTGTTTGGTGGAGCAAGGCGGTAAGTTCGTTTTTTAAGGGGTGATAAGTGGGAGTGTTCTAACCTGGTGGTGGTGGAGGAACTGCTAATACCGGATGAAGGGGTAACCTGGAGGCAGTGATTGGATCTCTACTGGTTCGGAGAGTGGGAGTCCCTTATTTAGGTTGTTTGCTGAATATCTGTGTCAAGTCGTTAATCTGGAATAACTCGGGTTTTAGTAATTTATAAGGTGGGCTGTAACATTGCGTTCCAGCCCTGAGAGGGAAAATAAACTGGTAAGAAGATGTGATAATTGGAAAATTGATGCAGATTACATATTTTATTGACTGATCATAACAAGGAATAATGTTATGTGGAGTCCAACTTGTAGTTATTCATCACATGTGATGGTTTAGCGAAGATTTCTGGATCGGAGTAGTATGATGCAGATATCAGATTTCGTAGTGCTGATCCATTGTGTTGATGTACTGCTGCTTAAACTGGTTTCCACGTATGTATGTCACAAGGGTAGCCGGGGTACTCGAATCCTAATTAGATCTCTAGCTTTGTGTTTGCTGTAGAGTGGAGAGTGGATATCCATAGTGCTGTGTACCTGTGTAGGGTTAAAATTCCAAGGTTGCTGAAATGGTGATGGTGTTAGAGAAAGACGCAAGGTGTAACACACCGTGGTAAGAAAGGCATTATGGTAGCAGAGAATGCATTATGACAGGAGAATGAGCGAAAGTAATGCAAATGAAAAAAAGGACCGAATTGCTGAGGTGATTGAGTGAGTGAGATGCTGCATTGCTACTGGCTGACTCGCCAGCAACAATGCAAGTCCAAGAAGAAAGAAGGAGAGACACTGTCCGTTATCTGGGTGAGCCACCACCGACAGTGCTCCCACTTATGTGGGGCTGAGGGTGTTGGCTCCAAGAACCAGCCGTGAGCAAACAGCGCCTGTCCCCCTCTATGGTTAACTTGAGAGTAACAGGACTATGCCATTCTCCAGGCCAATCCGTTCAGTAACCAGCTGACCCAGCACCACCTCTGATGGAAGATGTGGTTCGGATTGGACTTCGCTAGGATTTGTCAGTTTTTCTGTAGACACTAATGCTCCCTCGAGGAAAGACATGAGCCCCGGCAAAATTGACCAAAAACGTGGCAGGGATTCTCACTCTACTATTGCGTTAATATAAATATACAACAGATCCTTTGCTGCAAAATTGCACGTGCCACATTTTAAATTAAACATAATTCATGATTGGCTATTATATCAATCTGGGGAGACAGATATGCGACAAAGAACTTTGTCAATATAGATAGTCTAGATTTGAACTTGGAGCCACAAGGCAAAGGCCCAAGGGTGATTTTCAAATGTTTATACCAATATTTGAGATAGGGAAAATATTGAGTTTTTGAAGGGTTATTTTTATATCTAGAGTCATTGTGACATTATGTGTATACTGTTTTTTAATAAAAAAGAAAATAACTGCTGCAAGAATAGGGGTAGATTGGTACCCCTCCCACAAAGATAACAACTGTAGTCACAGAAAAGCGTAGAATTTGTTGTGGTTTGGCTCAACTTAAAACATAGTACTACGGGTTTCCAAGGTAAATAAAAACACCCTGCATTAGGAGTAACAATGGGGACAACAATTAAAGTACTGTCTCTGAACATGTGGGGGGTCCCGTTTGCCAGCAAGAAGATTAAACAGCGCTCAGAACACCTGATAGAACACCTTATGGTGTCAGATTATCAGATTGTGGGGTTACAAGAGGTTTTTACCTCCTGGCATGCTAAACTTATACAGGATGGTGTCAAGGTAACAACTTTAAACTCACCTTCATACACATTACACATGCTTTCCTAGGTAGTGTTATCTGCTTTTGGCTGCCACATAGCTGTTTTGTTTTTCTGTGACCTGTGATTTTTAATAGATTACACTGTTGAAGTAACACCTTCCAAATGTAAAAACAATTTCATTATTTGAATTTTTACTTTGACTAATGATTTCAGTCAATATTTGGTCATAGTCACTGGTTCAGAAGCGGATCTTTGGGTAGTCCTGGTTTGCTTGTTCTCTCCAGGTAACAGTAACAGTAGATGTATTTATTATGACAAGCTGACAAGTATTATATATGATCACCCTTTAATACCACAGTTTCAGTTGTTTTCTGGTAACAATTTTACTAAAACCGCCCTTGCGTCAGGTACCCTATTGTTGAGATTGCATTCCACCCGTTTGCTCTGAATGGGTACCCACAGCGTGTAGCACATGGGGACTGGTGGGCAGGTGAGACAGTTTGTAACTAATATACACTGACTCAGTGATGACATTTATAATACACTAGGAACCTCTTAGTCGAAAGCTTTGGTCGCGGAAATTTAAAAAATCAGTTTTGTTTTAATTTCTCTTCATCATCTAGCTTTGCAAACAGTATAGATTTTATTTGACAATGTTTACTTTACACCCCTTACAATATAAACTACAAACAGCGTTGTAAATTTTCGAATTCTCTAATTGGTACCTTTCACCGCATCAAAAACATTAATCGCAAGTAACAACTAAAGTTATTAATAACTTATAATAGCGTGAGCGTTAATGTGAGCTAGTATCATAAAGCATGACAACGCGTGTTGCTAATTTGTGGTTGCTTGTTCAATCTCTTGTTGTTGCTAAGCAACAGCGCAGTAAACCTTTGATGAAATTACGCCATTATTCTGTCGCTAATTTCTCCTCACTTCCAAGTTAATTATAAAAAATCTGAAGCTTGAATCAAAATTCTAAGAATGCTTTCTATCCTTTTTCTACAACCCTGCTAAATTGCTAGGTTTCAACTCCATTTGGGAGCTGAAATTGGTCACAAAGAAGGGTCGGTTTTTTGTCAATTTCAGTTTCCATGTCCCTGTTGTGGGGAGATTTTGTCAAAGTTTGAAATGTAATAAAACACTGTAAAACCTGTACACTCTGCAGAAAGGAAAATAGTTCGGTAAATCAGGATGTATGGTAAATAGGGGGTGTACATGATACAGGGTGGCCCATAAAACACTACCCATCCTTATCTATATTTTTGTTTTTAAAATAATTAACAAGATCTCAGCAAGCTGTAACAATTTTAAGAGATAAGGATGGGTAGTGTTTTATGAGCCACCCTGTATAAAGCGAGACGATATATAATATATATATTGTATGATATATTCATAGACACAATGTTTCGTCCTATTAGGACTTTAACACGACTTTCCGCAAAAACCGTAAAAGATATACAACTTAAACTTTTTTGACTGGTTCAAATGCTTTAATGGCCTTCAAATCAGCATGAAAAAATAACAAATTTGCCAAGGAATAAGAATTTTGGTGCCCAAAATTTGGACCCCCAAGTGGTGTCAAAAACGCGAATTAAATAGGTAATAATTATTTTAGTCTCTTGAGTCTTGACACCACTTTAGAGTTAGACGGGTTCCTGCTAGTCATAATAAATCCCAATCAATACACAATTACAATAAGATAAATAATTGAATACACATTTCTAGCTGTTAAATTCGGCCTCTATACGGCCCAATTTCCCGATGCCGCCTAAGAACTCACGTGGTTATCGGTTATCTGTTGCTGCTAGTCAAACTAAAGTGTAGACAGGGGCACGTTACATCAGGCAGGTTTTACTGTGTATTTATTCTAGCACCTTTTTGGCATTTTGACCAGTATGAAAAAATAAAAAAATAGACCTAGGGTTAGACGGGTTTCTGTTAGTGTACACTGTACAATGAGTATACAATGAGTATACAATGAGTATACAATGAGTATACAATGAGTATACAATGAGTATACAATGAGTATACAATGAGTGTACAATGAGTATACAACGAGTGTACAATGAGTATACAACGAGTGTACAATGAGTATACAATGAGTATACAATGAGTATACAATGAGTATACAATGAGTATACAATGAGTATACAATGAGTATACAATGAGTATACAATGAGTGTACAATGTTTACTTTACACCCCTTACAATATAAACTACAGGTAAAGGAGTTGGTTTGTGTAGAATTGACCACCCATTAGCTACGGTAGACTTCTACATAACTCACATCCACGCTAATTACACACACACTGGCTATGATATGTACACTGGACACAGGTTTGAAATAATATGTTAGTGTGATCTTACCTTAAAAACTTGCTCGCTCAATTTCCTGAGTCTCAAATAAGTTCTGATTCAATAAAATGTATCTCTATAATATATATATACTGTAGTATGTATATATGTATCTGTATATCTGTATACTGTATATCTGTATACTATAATTACTACTATACTACTACTATAACTAACTAACTAACGCTATCTCTTAAGGGTGAGCCAGATGTATTGCATGGCTAAATACATAGCAAGAAGTTGCGACTCTGACGCTATAATAGCAGTAGGGGACTACAACTGTAAAGAGGACGAGGTTGCAACAGAGGTGTTTGTTGAGGCGTCAGGGCTAACAGACAGGTAGTGGAACAACAAATACACTTTTGAGAATCATTACTATCTGGTCACTAACCAGTTACTATCTGGTCACTAACCAGTTACTAACTGCTCACTTACTGGTTACTAACAGGTTACTAACTGGTCACTAACCAGTTACTAACTGGTTACTATATGGTTACTTTCTGGTTACTATCTGCTCACTAACCAGTTACTAACTGGTTACTAACTGTTACTAACTGCTCACTTACTGGTCACTAACTGGTCACTAACCAGTTACTAACTGGTCACTTACTGGTCACTAACTGGTTACTAACTGGTTACTATATGGTTACTTTCTGGTTACTATCTGTTCACTAACCAGTTACTAACTGGTTACTAACTGTTACTAACTGCTCACTTACTGGTCACTAACTGGTCACTAACCAGTTACTAACTGGTCACTTACTGGTCACTAACTGGTTACTAACTGGTTACTATATGGTTACTTTCTGGTTACTATCTGTTCACTAACCAGTTACTAACTGGTCACTAACCAGTTACTAACTGGTCACTTACTGGTCACTAACTGGTCACTAACTGGTTACTAACTGGCCACTAACTGGTCACTAACCAGTTACTAACTGGTTACTATATGGTTACTTTCTGGTTACTATCTGTTCACTAACCAGTTACTAACTGGTTACTAACTGTTACTAACTGCTCACTTACTGGTCACTAACTGGTCACTAACCAGTTACTAACTTGTCACTTACTGGTCACTAACTGGTCACTAACTGGTTACTAACTGTTACTAACTGGTTACTGACTGTTACTAACTGGTTATTATATATATATGTATATGGTTACTAACTGTTACTAACTGTTTACTATCTGGTTACTACCCAGCTACTAACTGGTTACTAACTGTTACTAACTGTTTACTATCTGGTTACTACCCAGCTACTAACTGGTTACTAACTGTTACTAACTGTTTACTATCTGGTTACTACCCAGCTACTAACTGGTTACTAACTGTTACTAACTGTTTACTATCTGGTTACTACCCAGCTACTAACTGGTTACTATCTGGTTACAAACTGGTTACTATATGGTTACTATCTGGTTACTAACTGGTTACTAACTGGTTAATATCTGGTTACTAACTGGTTAATATCTGGTTACTAACTGGTTACTATATGGTTACTATCTGGTTACTAACTGGTTACTAACTGGTTACTAACTGTTTACTAACAGGTTATCTCATATTGCAGTTACAGAGAACTACATCCAGATAAGATAAATGATCCCGGATACACTAACGATACACCAGGTAGGGATCCAGCAATTAAACCTATTCCTTAATCAAATGATGGAGTAGTTCGCTGTTTATTAGTCTCATGATTTAAATACTGATAGTTGGATAATATCCGGTTGGAAGAGACAAGGACAAATGAAACGGGAAGTTAGGAATGTAGGCAAATTTTCGGCGTCAACGCCATCTTCAGGCTAAAATTGGTACAAATGTTAGTATTATATAATTATAAATGGTTCTACACTAGTTAAAATGCTAAATTAAAATTACACACACTGAATACAGGTTACATCAAATGGTAATATACATTGAAAATTGTGATGTACACACGTTTTACACTTTGTCCAAGTACATAATATCTACTGAACATAAGGGTCGTGTGCTATTTGTTTAAATTTGTCTCTGAATATGTTGTTAAAGAAATCCCTTAAGCTTCTCGCACTCTTTCTTATTATTGATACTAGGTTTAGATAAATTTATGTAGTACGCTTTTCGTTTAATGGTGCTATATAAGTTAATTTCTAAAATATCGAAAGAAATGTCTGGATCTAAGTTATTGTGAAATTCTAAATAATGAGCAGCCAACGCATTATCAGGATAGGTTAAAGGCCTGTTGACTGCTCTTCGATGCTCAGAAAATCTATCGTGTGCTGTTCTACTCGTTTCTCCTATATATACTTATAGCTCTTGACATAATTTACACGTGACTTTGTATATTACACATTTTGGTTTGCAGTGGTGATTTGTTGTGATGAGTGGACATATTATGATACAGTTTGGTATGGTGCAGTGTGGTTTGTCGTGTGGTCGTGATGAACATAAAATATCTGAGAGTTTCTTACCTGGTGTGAATATGAATTTGACAGGTAAGTTCAGGTGTCACGTGTCACGAAGGAAAACATGCATTACCCTCCGCAAAGCCATTTTAATGTATATTCTCCGCGTGCAGAGCAGTTATGGTGTCGTCGCCACGGTTACCCTCCGCATACGTTTGCACGATTCGACGATAGAATTACACTTTCAAATGCGCGGCGCCAAGCTGACTGGAAGTTTTCATAAAAGTTACGGTCAGCGTATGTAATTACAATGATTTATTCTCGATATGTTGTTTTAAAATGGATTTACATACATATAAATTCATTCCCGTTTTACGTAGGTTTATTGTTTAGGTGTTAAATGTTAAAGTCATGACAAACATTGTTAGGCTCTGGGTTTTCAATTTCACACAACCTCCTCAAATAGGACAGGATCGTGCTAGCCGTACACTAACAAGCTGTAACAAGCTGCCAACCACACCACAGCCTACATTACATTTTTTTAAAAATCTCAACACTTATTTTACTTCGGACATTCCAACAGCCACATTGTTACACAAGTGTGTAACCAGCCAATTACAGGAAGCCGAAGGATTCAATTATACATTAGGCCAGTGACGGTTAAGGTAGTGTGTACCATACTTTCTTCGCCCGAGACTTTGCTGCAATGGGCAGCTCCTCATTTAACCCTCCCACCCGATTTCTCGAGTATTTGGCTGAGTGGACCGGGGGGCTGCATAGACCACTCAGGATCCTTAGCTGAGCGTCGACGACGCTCACCCTACGGCTAGTGACAGAGTCGGGAATCGAACCTGGTACCTCAAGCAATACCAGGCAGATTAACCAACTGAGCCACTAAGCCGTAAAAAATATTCTATGCACGACATTTAAGGCTTTATTTTCATACCTTACAAGACATATTTATAACGTACGAAATGTGGCGGTTTTCCGAAAATTTCGCCATATTTTCGGACCGCCAAAATTTCGGTCGTCGTAATAGAATCCGTCGCATTATCTTTTAGCTTATTTCAATGACTGTGCCTTCACTGCTTTATTTTGTTTCTAAAAAGTAATTTCAAGTAAAATAAATAAATAAATTCTGGCATCTTGGGACAAATTATTACCACACCAATGACGAATTGAATGTCAAGCAATACAGTTTAAATTTGCATTAAAATACATGTATGTGCTAACATGAAAGTCTTACAGTCTTAATACAGACTAAGTTTGAACATGATTTTACCGAATTTCAGAAATTTCCTTACTGCTTACTGTCACAAAAAATGATGAAAAATACCCTTATTTTCTGTGACGTCCGAAATTTGATGGTTTTTGTTCAATTTCGCCATATTTTCGGACCGCCAAAATTTCGGTCGTCGCAAATTAGGCCGCCATAAATATGTCTTGTAAGGTATTTCACAATGGCAATCCCTCCACTTCCTACTACCAATAATGTAGAATGAAAAAGCATTATTAAACATTTCCACCATCATAAATTTAAAACGATCGACAAAAGGTAATGCCTACGGTTGATGGAAATTTAGCGTCTGCTAACCGGCGCAATTCTTGTTTAGTAATAATAATAATCTAATTTGATAAGTGGAAGTAAAAAGTTACATAACGAGACAATTATAATAAATTTGTTACAATATTAGGTATAATAATGATTCTGTTAAACTAGAAAAAAGTTACGGCTGCAAAAAACAAAAAAAGATTCAAGATTATTTGATGGGGATTCAAGCCATTTCATAGCTTTGTCTAAAATATCATACTTAAAAGATAAAATCAGTAGTATGTTAGTATAGTAATATCATCAACTTCAAAGTGAATTAAAACAGTACAAACATGCGGCTATTTATACCGATATTTATTCACAAGATATTTAAATCCCTATACTAATTAATAAATTAACGTGGTTCAGTTAATTAATTTTATTAAAGTATTTTAAAGTTTGAAGTGTTAATAATATCTTACTTCAGCAGAATCTTTGAGTTTATCAAGTAGACTACTCATGCGATGATAATCCTTAAGTATAGTACTTTTTGTAGGAAACATTATTACTATGCACTTAACTCGTGCTCGTGACATGGCCATATATAAAAGTTCTGAATCACATGAAACATTTGTAGACCCGCCATACAGTATCTCAGCTTCACAATCATTTAACGTTTGCAGTGCTATAACTACTGGCCATTCTTTTGAATATATTGACATCAACCCACTTGGTGTAATATCCTTTGAAAATAATATTTCATCCACAATGGTTTTAACTAAATTTTCTATGTCATGATCCCAAAGATTGTAAATAATACCCACATCATTACTATCTATTATATCATCAAAACATAGTTCATTAAATTCTTTGTCAAAAATAGAATATATAAGTTCCTTGTTCAACTTTTGCAGAACATGAACGATAGTTTTTGGTCCATGTATGTAGTGCCCGGGGGCTTGTAAAATGGCTAAATCATTTCTAAATGTTGATACTATGTGTCCAGGCTCAGTGATATGTTCTCGAATGACTGACAATGTTTTCGACAAATCAGAGGTGTTTCTCAAATTCTTTGATAGACTTACAAGCTGTTTAGATGATAATTTGTCGTTTAAAAAGCTGGCTAGTCTAGAGTCATATCCGAACCTTTCCTCCTCATCAACAATATAATGCGGGCTTTGTAACGTGTCACATGAGATCCAAACGTGATAAGAACTTGGCAGTTCAAACAATGCTTTAAATGTCTCAAAGTTTTTATTGATGTCTTCTTTTACTATATGCCACGTGAACACTCCTTGAATATCGTCGAAAAACACGTGAATTCCTTTTCCTTGGAATAAACGTATTAAGGTTGTATTATCGATGCCTTCGATACGCTTATTTTTAGTATTAAAATCCCTAACCATTATTATGACAACTTGATTATCATTAAGATAGTCTCCTAATTTACGATAGATGTCATCAACAGGTTTATGAATCATTTCTCTACCAGAAATAGAAACGTGCTTAACACCTGCTTTTTCTAGCGGCTTATGTAGATACTCTGGGGATTTCATGACGTTATCAATGACACACGTTTGACAGAAGAACACAATTTTGTTATCTTCACTTGACAATGCTAGTTGTAGTATCTTAGCTAGTAGTACAACAGTTTTACCAGCTCCAGCGGGTCCATTAATCCACAAAAACTTCTCATTTGAATGTATCAAATCGTACTGTTGTTTAGTCAAGTTGTCTATTCCTAAATAGTCCCTGACAATCTTGGGTGATGGAATGACGTCAGGGTTATTGCTCCTGAAGGTAAATCTTCCTGAACACAGTTGCTCGCCGATTTTTACTATACACTTACCCAAACTACATTTGGACTTATCACAAATGGTCTTGTCTGTGCACCATATAGCTAATAATAAGTTCCTAACATCTTCATGCTTGGTGCGAAACTCAGGACGCAAAGGCTCATCCAACACTAGATCACTTACATTGTCTTTCCACCAATCACTAAAATCTTCCAAATCTTCTTTGAACATTATTGATGAAAGTTTATCCCTGCTAAGCGGAAATTCTTTTTTGAATGCTTTTTGAAAGTTGGGGTAAACGGTAAACTGGAGAACTGTTAACCGTTTACAAAATCTTTTAACAAATTGTACCATCTTGCTCCTCTGGTCCAGTGATATCTGGAAAGTGTCGGCCAACGCTTGCGACTGTTGATCGTTGTTACACCCAGGGTGTGATTGATTTCCGATATGACCCTTATTCTTCACTTCGAGTATTACAAAGTAGTTTGGCGTTATCACTACAAAGTCACTCTCACCCTCCCTATTTTTGACTACCTTCTTCTCACACTTGGGGCATGTTCGTTTAACATGGGTTAAATCTCCCAGATAATATTGGAAATGAGTATATTCAAAACCATGAAGAACAATAAAATCTCCACCAATTAGTTTCTCCAAAGCTCTGTATACAATAACCTCAGCCTCATAGTTGAGTTGCTGGTTTCTGTCGTTTTCAAAACTACATCCGGGCTGATCTTCAGGGTAAAGGTCTACATACTTTTGTTGAGGAGCTCTGGGTAACATGATGGGATGTTTGTCTCCAGTTGAACAGAAGGTTTCAAATATCTCATTCCCATTCCGCAGGTATTTCTCGTACTGTGTTTCCTTCTTGGTCATAGCAAGCAATCCTTACTGTAGTACAAATGTTAAGTACTTTAG